TTGGTCTTCTTGAAACATTTAAAACATGTAAACCTTTTTGTTGAGCCAGAGCACGCTGGTGTATACATTTTGTTCCCAATGTAATACTTAGAAAACGTACCCAACTGAAACTTTTATCATAAAAAAAAATCAGAGTAACATTAAAGAAAGTGATGTACAACAAATAACCGACATCCAAAAGGAAAACATATATATATATATATATATATATATATATATATATATATATATATATATATATATATATATATATATATGCGAATATAATGTGCATAATCTATCATAGTCAGAACATTTACATTTTAAAGTGTTACATTGTCACGCAAGTTTTTTATAAAGTTTTTATAATGAGACAACACGTATGTACTTAACACCGAATTCGGTTACACGTGGGGAATAAATAAACCCCCACTGTGTCCATGTAAAAATAGTTGGACGACAAAATAGGAATTCTGGGGGTAAACTGGTCAACACGCTAATAAACGGATCCTTGTGGGTGTTGTAATCCGTGTTAATACCTGGCCCAATAAAAATGTCTTGGTCGCCCCGACGAAAAAACCTGGGCAGCTAACAATTAGGTGGAGATATAAACGAAAGTTTTCGGGAGTTTCCTGATGGCTACGTCACATCAAAGAAATTTTGTCTCCTCATTATTTTGTTTTTATTTTTTAAACAAAAGTGCGAGTTATGCAATGTTGTTTGTGTTTGTTATGAATGTTGTGCATACAGAATTAAATTGTTTTTTTTTCTCATCTTTTTTTGCCTTAGTGTGTGTTATTTTATTCCTTACGTGTTTGTTTTGAAAAGTAAGTATTTTCAGAGAGTGTTGCAGAATAAAGAAAATTTAAAAAGCATGTATACTGCATGCTCATGAACAACATTGGATGGGTTAAAACGTTCCAACTACCGTAAGACAGGTCTGTGATGGCATTAACCAAATCTCACTTTAAACACTTACGAGAGAACAGAGCTTACGCGTGAATAATTAGGTATACCGGCTGGGGCATCTTACATGGTAAACTGGAGTGGAAAAGTAAGGCGTATGAAACAAGGCAATTTTTCGTCCAAACCGTTTAGCAAACTTTAAAGGTGGATAGAACTGCGTACTGACATTTAGGTGAAATCTCAGAATCTTTTACGACAACCGTCACTGTCCAGCCCGCTCACCCATGCTCTGCCCGAGGGCACCAGTCATTTGGGGTGAGGCGCCAGTCATTTGGGGTGGGGTGCCTTCACTGTGGTGGGGCGCCAGTCATTACGCCAGCGCACTCCTCGCCTTCTGGACGCCGCTGTCCCTCAACCCATGGGAGAGTTACGAGAATGAGGTCACGTCAGGGCCATTTACCGACAACCATCGTTTGATTATGATCTGACAGTAGGCTAATTAATAATTCCACGAAAATAAAGAACTTACTTCTATTTTCATTTGCAAAATTATAGATACAAAATATTTGTCATACAGATTCAATAATGCATTCATACAAAAATAATGCACACACGTTAATACATTATTTCGACATTAATTCTAGAAGTACAATCTCAGTACAATTTTAAAAAAAGAAAACCGAACAAGAAAGTCTTGTAAATTTCTTTCAGCAATAACATATTGATCTGCTAAACGTTTCTATAACAATATTTCCCCCAACCCCTTTTATTGTTGCTACCAACGGTCTACATCAGAGAACTGCATTTTTCCCTAATTTTCTAATTCTTCCCTGAGACAGCACTAGAATTAGAAGAAGGGCCGGCCTTGTGGAGATGTTCCTAACACGCTATTATCACGTCGCCGCCAAGACGGGATTCATTTGTCAAAGTCTCGCAAAGCCTCGTCACAGGCTGCGACAGGCCGGGTTGGCGCAACGCACAAAATATGGCGTATTAATGCCGGTTGTGCTTTTGTTTTGCCGGTTTCAGAAATTAAATTTTCATGCTTCTTTTTAAAAATAAAAGGTGCAGTTAGCCAATTTTCTTTTATAGTAATTAACATTTCGGCAGTCAACTGACACATTTTATTTTTAAAATATAGGCTAAGTATTATGACCAGCCTTCTAAGATATGGGTCCGGTTAAGCCAATTTATTTAAAAAAAAACCTACCTTTAGGCTTAGAACTTAGCAAGTATCACGTGGCTAAAAAAAAAAAACATTTGAGTATAGCTTTTATTTTTAAATTGTTGGGTTACTGAAATCATATATACTGAATTAATTACGTACTATATAGCTTACATATATGTGTCTATAGTGTTCAGCAGAGATTCCCTTTATAGGCTAATTCTATGACATATGTCACTAAAAAGACAGAGGGAGTTAAAAGACCAAAAGCTAAACAAGTAAGCCACACGAGTGTAGACATACATGCCTAAAGAAAACAGTTTACTAATGACTTTACACTGTCACTTCCCCACGCATCTAAATCTTTGCTTGAATTAAGCAACCAGGAAATCTGACTTAAGTTGGCCAGCTTTAGCAGACGTGAGATTTGTTCTTTCTCGCTTAAAATTAATGCGTTATTTATTGCATGCTAGGGGACGTTAACAAAGCTATAATATGCATTTATCCAGATAGTGGGTGAGGGTGTGGGAGCTTACACATAATATTAAAGTTTTATATTATTTTTATAATTATGCTTTAAAAGGAAAACAAAATTAAATTTGTATTTTCAAACTGCACAATGCTAAATTGACTAGATGGGCACTAACATCGTATTCTACATCTTTCACTTTTAAAAGGCCCCGCCAACAGTGTTTCTTCCAGACTTTTTCTCCGGGGGTGGGGGGAGGGGGGCGGTAGACTCCCCCCAAAGAGATGCCTGGAAGAAACACTACTCGCCAAGCTAGTTGCATATTATTGTCTTAACAAATAGCATTTTAATGGCATGCATCGTATCGTCGCATTCGCTAGTATACTCAATGCCCTTTTCATTCTTATGTCACTTATGTGTCGATTATAAACAGTTGAATAAAATCACCATACCGGACGCAGAATCCATGCCAAACCAAAAAGAACTGTGCATAAAAATAGCACATGCGAAAATGATAAACGAATTCAAGTGTCGTCACTTCCTCAAACTCACTTCGCAACATGGTGGGGCAGATGCAGAAGTATCATCAAATACTATAAATAAGATATAGCTATGAGAAACTTTACCTTTTGAATCGTGATTGTTTCCCCCCATAAGTTTAGGTTTTAATGTTGTACTTGTATCGCTGAAAGAGAAACGTATCAAATTATTTCAGTAAAATAAACATTAAAGAGCTGATGGCGATTATAACTTTACGAGCCGGCCTGCGGCATAACATACGCCGCTATTTAGTTGTTGTTTTTTCTACTTTTCAGTAATTCATAATTTGTGAATTCGACAGTACCAACGCTGACACTGAAAATATTTCTTTAAAACACCATAAGTAGCTCGTTAAGGACCATAACCCCCCCCCCCCCCCATCTCAACGTTTAAAATCGTTTCAAACTTTTTTACATTGTACAATGATTTCGGAATTATGTGTATTCCTGCTACTGTAAGCTATAGCCTACAAATTGAATTTGGGCCGTTTGTATTGATTACAATGTTGCTAAGAATCAAATCGGACGGAAATCACCCGTTGATACTAAAGAAGAACGTATTGTAAATGTCAGAGTGCAGCTTTGTATTGATTTAAAAATAAAACAAAATTTAAAAATATGAAGAAAAAGAACTAATTTACTTTCTACATGTGTACGTGCGCGTGTGTGTGCGTGTGTGTGTGCGCGCGTGTGTATGCGTGCGTGTATGTGTGTGTGTGAGTGCGGGCGTGTGTGTGTGTGTGTGTGTGTGTGTGTGTGTAAGGGGACCGAGGGTGTTGTTCACTCATAAGAGTACCCTCATAATGCTAATTAGCAAACCTGAACTATAACCAATCTAAAACTAAAAGTTAAACTAAATAAATAAGTAAAACAAATAAAATAATTCTACGCAACAGTATGTTAGTTACTGTAGAACAATAACTGATGTAAAAGACTAGTCTATCAAGGTGCTAAAAAATTTATTTATTTATTTTTGTCGGATTCGGGAGCCCCGTAAACGGTTTGTCCCATCCCCCATCCGCATTAAGAAGTCTGTGTGGTAGTTCCGCCCCTGGGTCAGAAATGAGTTTGAGCCAATTTTTTGTCATTTGTTGTCTTACGATGGGTATACTTCGCAATTAAATAGTTTAAATTACTAAATTAGGAAAAGGTTTCATTAAAAATTTATTGAGACAGTCTGCATATATATATATATATATATATATATATATATATATATATATATATATATATATATATATATATATATATATATATATATATATATATATATATATATATATATATATATATATATATATATATATATATATATATATATATATATATATATATATATTTAGGGGGACCGAAAAAATTGCGGGAGGGGGCCTTTTTTCTAGTTCAGTCATTGCTTACAGACATGTATTAGTGTAGGCATAGACACCTATTTAATGATTACCTTTTTATTACTTATCTCTTGGGGGGGGGGAGTGGACCGAAGCCCCCCCCCCCCCCCCGAAGAAAGTCTACCGCCCCCCGAACGAAATGAAATTTATATAGAAAACATGCTTTTTACAGTGTGCCGTCGTCCCTCCCCGAAGAAAGTATACCGCCCCCCCCCCCCCCCCCCCCGAAAATTTCAAGTGCCCCCCCCCCATCGGAGAAAAAAGTCTGGAAGAAACACTGCTTATAAAAGTTATATAATTATGCAATGACTTCCAAATGCGGCCCTGCGCGTTATTGCTTATATATAAATTTTATTCTTCGTTTGCATTGAAAATAGATGTAATAAAAAAATATACGAGTATGGAGCGTCAAGAAAGCGATTATTATTAGAAAATTGGCTAATATTGTTGCTTTAGGCTTCTTTTTTTAACACGAAAAGATGCTATCTAGATCTGGGTCTTTTTTGGGCTGTTATTTTGTGTCTAGCTATTTAGAGCTACCGCATGGGCGGCATCTTTGAAAATATCCTTTCTTTATTACGTTTGTAAAGTGAATAATTGTCTTAATTGACGAAAGCTATTATTGTTTGGTATATTTAGATCTAGATTCTAAATAGTTTTCCTTTTAGCATTTGTTTAATCTGTGTTTAAAATTGTTAAATATGTGCTTTATTATGTAATTTAGTCTTATTTTTATTTTAATTGGAGTGATTGATGGACGAGTTGATTGACTCACTGAGTCTGAGTCATGAGTGACTGATTTTTACTAAAGTAAAAAACATCAAAGCAAAGTCTTGGTTTAGTTTGTGCTATATCTTAATCTTAGAATATCTATCTAGATCTAGATCTAGTATCTATTCTAATTCAGTATTAGTTCTAGGCAGTTAGACAATACTGTCTACTGAGACTGTAGTACTAAAAGTAATTACTAGATCGGTAATCTATCGTTTTAGGTACGTAAAATCGCCCGCGACTAGTAATGTGAAAAACAGGTGACTCCTTACATTTTAATAATTATTTCACATTTTGAGGAGGATTTATGTTTTGAAAAATACAAAAATGTTTCCTTGTTTCATTTATGTACCTGTTTCTAAACAATTGATTTAAAAATTTTCAGTAATAAATGAAGACCAGCGATGTTTCCAACAGATGCAACCATGCTCATTTACTATAGCAGCCATCTTGTTAAAGTTTTATTTTTATAGACTTATAGCGCAAGATTCAGGCGGAAGTCACTCTATTTTACAAATGGCTGCTGTTTATATAGCAAATCTTGCTTGCAGACACTGCTGTTTAAAGTTAATTTCGGGCCTATATTGATATATTTAGCCACTGATTTAGGTTTATTATTCATTTATCTATAATATTTGACACAAACATATCACAATATACTTCTATTACAGCCTTGACAATGAGGTAACGTTTTCGTACATTAATAGCCGCGGGCGATTTTACGTACCCAAAACGATAGATTACCACTAGATCTAGATATAGAATCTAGTAATTACTACAGTAAAGTTAACTAGAGAAGAAATACCTAAACAATACATATCATACTACACATTAAATGATCATATTATCTAGATGTACTAGTGTAGTGGTCTAGGACTCTAGACTGCATGAGGGTGGCTGAGGCTAACTAACTTACTAAATCTAGATTCTTCTAAGAAAAATAAAATGTTGCTTTTTTGTTGGAAATTGTAGGCCTGGTTCCTACCCAGATTTATTATTCCTTTAGCTGTACAACTGCAATTTACTCTGATTTAGGCCTAGATAAAGATTTTATATTTTCTTAAGTTTTACTGACATAAGTTTTTACAGTTTGGAGGTTAAAAAATAAGAATGCTTCAACGGCAAGTACTGTCACCACTGACCAATACACCATTAACACCACTGCGACCACCACCTTCAAAATTTGTTTCGCCATCAACAAGCCGAACAGTTGGCCTTGGTAGTCCAACGCCTGCCTTAGTAAATTTTGCAGGTATTATGTAATTTTCTACATGTATTAAATGAACTTAACATACTGTTATTTATTATTTATTAATATGTATGGGTTTATGTAAATAATGTAATAATTTGTTTCAATTAAATTATTGACAGCTCAGGATGAAGGACAGCAAAGGAAAGAGAGAAGAAGAAAATCCCAAGCATTTGATTTGCAGAGATTAAACCTTGTTGGTAGTCCGAGCTCTTCATCTTCATCGCCAAGGTATCATTAAAAATATATCTTAAGTTATAATGTATTTTTGTTTACAGAAGTAAAGTACCTGTTTGAATCTTATGGTCCATTTGGTAGGTGAAGTAGATTTCACATTTTTTCAGTGACATTGGCATATGAAGGTATAGTGTAGTCTGCACTATGCCCAGCAGTCTTTACTTATCCATCAGAGCTGGGTGGACTTTGAGACGTCATTATGATTGTTACTGCATATTTTTAATAATAATTTTCAAAATCTTAAATGAATATCTTGTTTTAGTGCTAGATCTGCTGAACCTTTAAATGGACTCACAAGTACACAACTTGCAAACCACTATGCTGATTGTATACAACTCTCAGCTGAAAATGTAAGTTCCTGTTATTGTTCAATTTGTCAACATGTGCTTTTTTGGTTTTTCTAATGGTTCCAGTACCATTACTTTGTTACTTGTTCGGTAATTTATTTAATTAGGCTTCATGCAGTAAGAAAGTACCATATTGTTATGAAACTTTTCAGAAAATCAATGCAAAAAATGCTTTTGCTCTCCATCTCATTGATTACATGACAGAACTTGTAAAGAAAAAAGAATTAGAGAATTTTCAGGTAACAAATATTGAAATATATATTAAAACTTTTTTAGTTTTGTGCATCAATCTCAACTGCAAACTTCATAGTTTTTTATCAGTCATAATTTTGTAAATTAAAGCTGTTGATTATTTTGTACTTGAATTCTTGTGCTAGGTTGCAAGCTCTACTTTAGATGCAAGTGTTAAGATCTATGCTGGCCGTGTTGACTCCATACATTCACAGACTTATAAAGTCTTAAGTGGTTTAGGTGGAGGTGGGGGAAAGACAGAAACTGATGGTATGAAACTGCTTGCATCTTTTTAACACTTAGATATATTTTCTGTCAGTTGTTTAAATGATATATTTAATTTGATGCCTTTACAGTTTCGCAGTTTTACAACACATATTACATTTTGGTATTTCTTTTGCTTTAAGAAGGGGGAGAAGAAGTTGATGGAGAAGCAGAGAATTTGGAATTAAAACCAAAGAAAAAAAGAAAAGTAAGTTAATTATTTTAGTTTTTTTACACCTTAATTATATAAATTACATGGGAAGTCTATTTGTTTTTATATCATGGTTACTTTCATGTATTGAAAAAAGCTACCACTAATAATACTGTAGCTCTTTAACAAATGTCATAGGGTTTGCCATCTAAAGTTGATAATTATTATTCAATTATTATTGCCTGTTCATCACTAGTTTACAGTAAAGAATGACATTCATATTTAGAAATACATCCGACTTGTACGGTGTATCGTTTATCTTATTACATGTTTTATAATATTTATTAAAACCTCAACAACTTCCTTCATGTCCCTAGACAACAAAGGCACAAACTATAGAAACAAATTTGAAGAATATTAATGTAGACAAGTTTGACCTGGAGTTTGAGGTGGACCCAATGTTTCAAATGATGTCAGCAGCATTTGATGAAGGTGGTGTCCGGGGACTTCTGCTTAATAGGTTGAGAACCTTTGATGACAGTATGCAACTCGTCCTTGACTCATCGACTGTGGTTAATATTGTTGAGGATACAAATGACACTCCTAATGTCAGAAAACCACTTGATGTTTCAGATCTTAAAGGTTAAATAGAATTTATTGTTCTAATTTACTTTTATAGGTTTAGTTTTGATAATCTTTTTAACAGTACTAATTTCTTCAAAGAAGCTATAAAATATTTATAAATAAATGTTATATCTAGATATGCTGAGTAAAATAAAGCTAGAAGACAAAGTGATATGCCCATCTTTGAAAGACTTCCATTTTTCAAACTGGGATGGAGATGTAAGTATAATTTAAAATTAACAATGAACTCTATAAATTAAAATTTACACTTATTAAAAAGAAAACTATATATATATACATTTTAGTATAGTTCCCAATCTTTATTTATACTTTTTCTTAAATATTAAAAAAAAATTACTGCACTATCTTTTTCAGACTTCTTTCATGCCTAAAGGTTTCTCTGATTTTGTATTTGATCCAAATGCTGAGCCACAACACCTCCCAAGTGTAGAGGATGAAGTAGCCTCTATAGCACATGAAGAAATTGATGACTTAGAAGCAGTTGAAGATGAACTTCAAGGTAGATTTGATGCTGTTTGAAATTTGGTTTAGTCATACATGCATGTATTTCCGCTTTACACCAAATGTCTAAATTATTTTAATAACATCGCTTAATAATAATATACTTAATTTAGATGAACCCTAGCAAAATCACAATTTCAAAATAGATAATAGAAAGGAGCACTTTTTTCACACCTATATAATATGACTGGGTATTATCCCCCTTAGTATTGTGATACATTCTTTACTTCCTCAGATCACGGGAGTGTTGCCAGTGAATGCTATGATGCTATATCTGCAAGGGACTCACGCACGGCTGAATTTGTTGAAAGTGCTTTTTCCGACCTTGTGTAAGTATTATTAGGTTTTTTTAGGTCATTTTTTAAACAGGGTCAAACTGGTATTTTAACTGGACATTAATAGTCGCATATGTTACCTTAAGTTACTGCTTACTTTCATTTTATGCCTAACTGTCTGATGGTAAATCAAAATGACTTATTTCAGGCATGGCAATGTTGGTAAACTTCGCCAGATTCTAGCCAATGAACCATCAGACTATTCATACTTCAATAAAGTACTCATGCGAACATGGGCAGGACCAGCACATTGGAGAATAGGCCCTACTTCAAAGAAAGGTGATTTTAATTAATCCTCAGCTTAAATTGATTTTGGGGCAGATGAAGTAGAATTCTCCTGTTACAGTTATCTCAGCACATGTACTAGTGTTGTCAGTACTAATGCCTAGCCACTTTTACTATTTTTAACACAAGTCAGGTACCTGTCAGGGCTGGGTGGACTCTGGGACATCCTATGGTCCCAAGATACAAACTGGAAGATTTTTGGGTTAGCAGTTGTGCTCTCTACCATCTGACCACCCCGTCCCATACAAATATTATTACAAAAAAAATAATCTCATTGAATATTAACCTGTAACACTGCCCTGAGAGAGGATAGGACATTTTTTTTTATTGAGAGTGCATATCAGTTCACAAATTTCTAAAAGAAATGTGGGGTGGGAGAATATCTATAAACTATAGCATTGACTCATAATGTTTTTTATGTAAATACTACCTAAAATATTACAGATGATGAATCCGGCAGTAAGGTTTTGAAAAAGAGGCAAAAAAAGCCACAAATTAAATTAACATACGATATGGATGAAACCGAATTGAACCAAATGTTTAAAGTAACAAAATCAACTTATTCTAAAACTACATGGGCAAGATATCTTCAGAAAAGAATAACCCTGCCAAGAAATCAACAAATAGATGCACAAGACAGCCTATTTAGGTTGTTTCACAGACCACACATCATGGTAATTTTTAAATGTTTGATTTTAATATATTAAGATTTACTGCACAAACATTAATACAGCTTTTTAATTGTTATATTGTTTGTATAACTTTGTAGAAGTTTTACATCAGATTTAAAACAGTAAATAATGTTTTAATATTTCTCTCTGCTTTAAAAAAATGATTCTCCTTTCATAGATAAAACCACAGTCAGTTGACTCCATAGGGGTTGATGATGGCATTGATAACTATGATTACAACAATAAAAATGATGTGGAAAATTTTTGCCCAGTTGTAAGAGTAAGTAATTTATCTTCACTTGTTAATATTGTTTTTCTGATCATCCTCTATGAACCTGATTATAATGTTTGCACACTATTTGACCCCTACTAGCTTAGGTGAACATTGTTTGGTGCTTCTTAATTAATGCAATGTATTGTTTTATGTAGCTTCTGATGGAAACTTAAAGATGAACATATTTTTAGATTTAACTAGGTTTCTGTTGCAATCTACATGAACCTTTTGTGAGATTTTAATTACAAATGCAAGTTATTGATATATGTAAATTTTTAATCTAAAAGTTTTCCTTTTACAGGAGGATGATGATGAAGAGGATCTCTCAACGGGTGGGTTTGATTTGTCCAACGAGACAAATTTCCCACAAGCCTCCCAAGACAACCTGTCTCAGCAAAGTGCTTTTTCAGAGTTAGTACTGAATGGCACTATTTTAACACAAGACAAACTTGTTGCAGCACCTAATAAGGTAAGAAAACACACAGTATTTTTTCAATATAACTGAAGTGTACTTTGCACTAATAATTTAAATGATTTATACTATTTATAGAAATAATTTTTTTACGATTAATTATTTTGTTGTATTATTGTTACAGAACTAGAAAAAAAACTTTTTTTTGTATCTAGGTTCAGAAAATTGATATAAAATATGCAAAAACAGCCAAACGAGTTGATGTTAGAAAGTTGAAATCAACAATGTGGAATATTTTAACTGAGGATTCATTAGAGGTTAGAGATTGCTTTGTTTATAGATATACTGAAAACAAATTTCCATTTTCTTATTTTCACTAACATTTGTAAAAAAAAAATTATATTTTACTCTATTGTTTAAGCAATGCATTTTTCAAACCACAGACCAAGAATATTTCTGAACCTGAAAGCAGTTCACAAAAAATGTCCATACCACACCATTTTAGTCACCTGAAAGATGTGTTACCCTCTAAAGTGTCAACCAGCATGGCCCAAAACTTGACCATCCAGACAGTATTTGCTTGCTTATTGTATATAACCAATGAAAAGGTAAAATCTGATCTTATGTTTAGTAATTTCAATCAAGCAATTTTGTTCTTATTCATAGTATTTATATTTATTTAAATGTGTGATTAGCACTAGGATAGAAGGCATCCGTACAATTTTGATTAAAAGTGATAGTTGAATCATGATGAAACATTTAAGCCCAGCTTTTTAATTCTTTTATAATGTAAATTAGAAAAAATAGAATAGATATAAAATAGCTGTTGACCAAAAAATTTTCTATTCATATAAATAAAAAATAAATAATTTTTGTTTGTAATGACTCTTGTAAATTCTTAAATAAGTGTGTTTTAATTGACATAATTCTACAATTTTGTCTTCAGTCTCTAAAGCTCACAGGATCAAAAGAAATGGATGACATTTACATTGAGCCAGAATCAGAATAATATAAGGCATATTTGCATGTAAATAGATCAAATATTTGTATTTAATGTACTCATTTGTCTCTACTTGCCTTATCTTGTCTATCCTTTCAATTTTACAAACAATATGTTTAAAAATTATTTTACAGTTGTAATACAAAACCGGTACAACAGCAATGTTGTATTTGTTAAAATTAATTGACAATGTGTTTGTACAAACTTGATCATACTGGTATTTACAGTAATAATCAAGATTATGTTCACTATTACAATATGTTATGTCTAGTTGTAATAAGATTGCTATAGAGTTATGTCTTATGGTAATTAGATTATGTAGATTATGTAGCTTTTTGAACACTATTACTTTACCTCAAATTTACATTAACAGCTATTCTGTGAAACAATATATCATCTTCATTCTGTTTATGTCTATTTCAACAATTTCTTATGAGATATCCTTTTCTGTTTTCAAAGCAGCTAAACATATGCATAAACTTTCAACAGTGCCTAATAGTTTGATAGCCATAATTATTTTTACTTTTATGGAAAATTAATTGTATAGAAAATCAAAGTTCTTTTGTCTGTTATTATGTAATATCAAATTCTATCAGTTTCAACCTTCAAACACTCAGTTTTTCCTTAGCATTTTGAAGACTTCTTGTGCATATTTCTGTTTTGTTGGTTTTCTTTTTAGAGTAGTAATACACATCTTTGTAATATTTTAAACATATTTCATTATTATTTCTATTCATATAATTGTTAATTTTTGTAGCAAATTTTCTGGTACTTAATTTGAAATATGTTAACAATTTTTGCTCAACCACATTAACTAGTTTTTGAAAGGAATATTTTAAAAGTATTAGAAGTATTTAATTGTGCTGTATAATTGTTCTACTTTCACAAGGTAGCTGTATTTGATATGCTTAGTTAATAAAGGTGTATAATTTTCTTTTCACTGATGCTACTTAACATTAAGTTTTTACATTTGTATAGGCCTATTTAAATTAAAATATTATGATTCCAATTTTGAAATATGTACCAGTAATAGTTGGATTGGAAACTTCATGACATTAAAACAAGCATAGAAAATCTCAATTCTGACAGAGCTTTTCAGTTGTCATTTAATGTTATCCAGATTAAAGAAATCAATAAATAATGTTTTAATAGATCTCCTGGCTGGTCAGTTGTGTTTTAAAAGCTAAAGCTACAATGTGTGTGTGTGTGATTTCATGTTTGTAACAGTTGTCAGTCTAACCTACAAAAGTAAAGCACCAATAATTGTTTAAGGTTAAGCTGAAGACCAAGAAGCACTTGATGTTAGTACATGAAAAAAAAACTTTGTTCTAAAGATTATTTTTTTTACAATTATTGATATTGTTTACTTTAGAATAGTATTATTCATAGGCGTAGCGAGGGGGGCGGGCGGCGCGGACCGCATGGTGACACCATTTAGCCATTTGGGGGGGGGGGGGTGACACCAAGGCAAATAATAGCAATATATATAGAGAAAAATTTGAGGAGGGGAGGGGGTGCAAATCGAAAGTTTGAGGGGGAGGGGTGCAAATCGAAAATTTGAAAGTTTGTCCTTGTGAAGAGTCGCTACGCCTCTGGGGGGGGGGGGGGGGGGTGACACCCGACCTCGCTACGCCTCTGGTATTATTCTAAGATTTAAACCAGGGGTCTCCAAACTTTTCAGTCCGAGGGCCACATTAACTATCAAATTTCAGTTCGGGGGCCAGTTTCTTCCCGGCTTGTCTTTGATTTTTCTGGGCAAAGTTCCTCAGCCATAACCAACAAACGTTTTTTCCGTGGACAAAAAGATCTCTGCGGGCCGGATGAGAGGACCTCGCCGTAGTTTGGAGACCCCTGGTCTATGCCACTGTCAAAAATAGATATACTTATTAGGCCTACATGTCTCAAAATAAGTTATGGAAACGGACATAAATGACAAAATGTGTATCTACGGGGAAGGGAGGGAGAGAGGAAACATTTTTTTTCAAAAAGTACATTTTCAATCGCATTATTTCTGTTATGTGGGATTTTAATTTTAAAAGTAGATATAGATTAATTTTATATTTAAATAAACCATGCAATGAAAAACGTTTAATCTTAAGAAATATTTGTATAAGGGCCATCCATAATGTCCATATATGACGTCACGCTTTTTACCCACCCACACCTCTCCTTCGTCACATAAGCCTAACCCACACCTCTAAAATAACATCATGATCCAGTCTACAACCCCCTCCCCTTATTTTGTGTTTTAAATTATCGATTTCTTTCTGAAATATTTCATGTGCTCATTCAACATTGAGTATACTAATCTATTCTATTTATATTAGATTTTACATAACCAGCCTTTTAAAAGCGCAAAATATTTAAAATAACGACTATAATTCAGTTTCTTACATTACTATTTAAAAACAAGTTAATTAAAAAAGTCTAGTGACATTTATGCGCAATTTCCTTATGTTATCTAAAAATAGCTCTGACGTATAATGCTGGGGTGCGTTCAAGCTAGAAGAACGATTGGTTTGTAGGTGTTTATGTAATTTTAAAATTTGTGCCCGAACGAGAGGATATTTTTGAAAACTTTCTTCGGCAATATTGTTCTAAATTATGGCAGGAATCGATTGGTACATGTTTTAAGTCGCTAAGTGGTCTGGTTGCCGAGATATGGGCAAAAAACTGCATTTTTTCGAGTTTTTTTGGCTTTTCCGGGAAATACATGAAAGAAACCCGGAATTTTTATGGCCTATGCTCATCCTCGTAACTTGCTTAACATAATTGCTTTTGGAACTAGTCATCGATATTGCTTCGTTGAGGAGGAGATACGACTTAAAGCTGCGGACACACATCCATCCATCCATCCATCCATCCATTCATTCATACATCCAGAAATGACGGGTTAATAAACGCAATTCTCCAGAATGGAAATTGCGCTAAAAATAATTTCACACTTTCTGAACACTTGAACACCCCACATTCTCATCACACGACACACATCATTGTCGAAAAATTACAAGACACCCCCCTAGAAGTATGGCGTTGTTTATATGGATGCATTGTTAGAACTAGATCTATATATTGTATGAAAATGTCTTTGTTTTCTTGTTTTTTATGCATAAATTTAAAAGCTTAATATAAAAGTTTTAAATGATTTTTGGTATTGAAGCCGAACAATAATAAACCCTTGTATTCTTTGTTTTGTAGAATTACTTCGTATTTTTAATTTACAAGCATTGATATTAAGGTTGACGTGTTTAACGGAGATTTTGCCAGGTAAAACGATGGAAATATGAATGATGCAAGATGACTTTTCATTTCTTGTAAAATGGTAAGTTTAAGTGAGCATCAACTAGATTAAATGTAAAAGTGAAAGAGTTTGTGGCTTTTGTTATTAATTTCTATTTGCTTCAAGTTGTGATCATAGTGAAAGAATGCTTATTGAGGTTTGTTTGGTACTTTAAAAAGTAATACTCATGGATTAATAACAAAATACAAAACACACGTAAACGAGAAAAATGCACGAAATTTAAAATGATGAATGCGAGTTACGAATGAATTTTAAAATAAAAAAATATCTTTAATTTAATGCATCTTACTACATAGACTCTAAATCTAGATTCTATAGTGATTCTATCACTGTATTTTTAAAACTAGTTCGGCTAGATTTCTTAGTAAATCCTCAGACCAGGCTGAGTTTTACGCCTAAACCTAAAAACTCAGACTACTGTCTGAACTACTTAAATATAAATAAATAAACTTTACTATCTAGCCTCTTGACTACTTTTCTAAATAAACTGTAGTGACTAACCCCCCCCCCCCTCCTTTAGTATCTCCAATTTCCTTGGATGAAATGTGGTCTTAAAGAAAATATTACATTTCTAGGCCTAGGTACTATCAGTGACTAGATCTAGAATCGGTAATCTATCGTTTTGGGTACGTAAAATCGCCCGCGGCTTGTAATGTGAAAAACAGGTGACTCCTTAAATTGTAATAATTATTTCACATTTTGAGGAGGATTTATGTTTTGAAAAATACAAAAATGTTTCCTTGTTTCATTTATGTACCTGTTTTTAAACCATTGAATTAAAACTTTTCAGTAATAAATGTACACCAGCGATGTTTCCAACAGATGCAACCATGCTCATTTACTATAGCAGCCATCTTGTTAAAGTTTTATTTTTATTGACTTATAGCGAGATTCAGGCGGAAGTCACTCTATTTTACAAATGGCTGCTGTTTATATAGCAAATCTTGCTTGCAGACACTGCTGTTTAAAGTTAATTTCTGGCATATATTGATATATTTAGCCATTGATTAAGGTTTATTATTCATTTATCTATAATATTTGACACAAACATATCACAATATAGAAATCTACTTCTATTACAGCCTTGACAATGAGGTAACGTTTTCGTACATTAATAGCCGCGGGCGATTTTACGTACCCAAAACGATAGATTACCCTAGAATCTATCTATAATCTATAAAAAATAGTACCTATAGAAAATATTAGACTATTTTAACCAGTCCCCCCCCCCCCCATGCTGAAGTTTCAAGTTATTTATTTGAAAATATGAAATTAAATTGAGCAAATCCTAGGATTTTAACTTAAAATTGAAACTTAAAAAATTAACAAGTGTAAGTCTAGTTTCTAAGTGAAAATATTAAGAAAATTAATAAATTTGTCTTTATTAGTCTCAACCTACATCTGTGTCTGTAAGTATAGGCCTAATATTTTATTAACACGTTTTTCTTAACTCAGCTTCGCGTTTGTGGATGGATTTGTTTGTTGTTAAAATTGACATAGAAAATTAGCCCACTTCTGATTGCTCTACAGATCTGAAATTTGGCATGCAGGCTACTTTCGCCTAACAATTTCAGATGCAATCATAAAAACTAGCAATTAGAGACCGTAATTAGCTTAATTTAATTACGCCCCAAGGACCATAAAATTGAGGACATGATTTCTAAAGATACCGACAAGACTGGAGGCCTATTGACACAGTTACTTCGGCCCCAATCGATGTGAGCGCGCTGGCCGTGATCGTATAGTGGTTAGTACTTCGCGTTGTGGCCGCGACAACCCAGGTTCGAATCCTGGTCGCACAAGATTTTTTTAGTCCGTGTATTTATAAACACTTAGTCAAGTCATACTTAATCAAGTCATTAGATAAAGTAGAAAATAAACTATATAAAAAACTTTTTTAAAAACCACGTTTTTCATGTGTAGCAACGGACTAAAAAGGAGAAAATAAAATAATTAAAAAAAACTTTTTAAAAAACCACGTTTTTCTTGTGGACTAAAAAGTAGAAAATAAATTTTTCTTTTGTGCTTCCTCTAGCTGTGCAGGTTCTTGTGATGACTGACAAAAAAACCGTGGGTCGGGCAGATGGGTCGGGAAATTTGATGGTGAACGTACCCACGTTTTTTGTCAGTCATCACAAGAACCTGCACAGTCCACAAGAAAAACGTGGTTTTTTAAAAAGTTTTTTTTATGTTTTAGATTTAAGCATAGTTTTAGCCTGAGGCCCTGTCCAAAACCTATTATCATTATTATAATGGGCAGGCCCAGCTAGGTTCAAATGTAAACAGGAACAAATTACACATATTTTAAGGTTAACAAGTGAGTGATGTTCACTGAGTTACTGACAGTATCAGGGGGCACATACCTCCCAAAGCTTGTCCACTGTCCCTTGAAGAAATTAAAAAAAAATTATTTTATATAGGCCTATACAAAATATATGCTTTTATTAGTGTCCGCCACCCCCTCTCTGAATTTTTTTTCAGCCGGATAAAACAATGTTTTGACTGTAAATTTTTATATTTGGTGCACCCACTATGTGACACTAGTGTTAATAAATGTGAATTTAGTTTTAACTATTGAAGGTTAATAAATTAAAAAAAAAAATCATTGAAGGGTAGTTAAACTGGTTAGAACAAGCTCAGACTTTTACTATTTTTATCACTACATTCAAAGCCAAAGCCTAAAGAAAATTTATTGTTTTACAAGCTTATAGATAATAAGGTGTCTTGTTATTGACAGGTATCTACAGAGTTTAAAGTAGATTATAAGCATTATATAAGTGCACAATTTTGAAAATTGTTATTGTTTAGGATTGGGTTAGACTTTAGCTTAGAAATATAACCATAGTTTAGCCTTAATAATTTAACTATTTAAATTGGCTTAGGCCCTAACTAAAAAAATTCTAGAATTGACAAAATAGTAAGTAGTATTGTATTAGCAACAAACAATGAACTACATTTATACTGAAGTTAGTGTTGGTTCATTTAGTTATAATTATCCTTGTATTTTTGTTTTTAAAATAAATTCAGGATACTATTGAAAATATCACATTTTAATCATGCCTTTTTAATAAAGACTTCAATGCTGTCAGAGCTAGGTTTAAGGATAGTCTCAGTTAGGGTTAATGTTATAGATATTAGGCAGAAGCAGCCTACTCAAAAAGTCTGAAATACATTCTGGTGACCTTTTATTGATTAATAGATCTATGTTCCTACAAAATTGAGCTATGTAACTGTTGTTTTTATTTTGTTAAATATTTTTCCCTATTCTAGTTTGTAGGGTAAACATCTGAATATTTTATACTGAAAAATAATTCATCATAAGACATCCACAATGAGCATCATTGCAAGGAGTGTAAAAATTGCCCACATCTTAGGGGTTCTCATGTTTTCAAGTATCTGCATTTATAAGTTACTTGCAAAAGGGGAACCTGTTCAACAAGGTGCATTAACAATTGTTAAAGATTCAAATGAAAATTATAATGATGAAGGTAAGCAAATATAAAACTGCACCCAAATAAAAAAAAATATATCTGTTTATAACTTTTATAATTGATTTTTTAAAAATGTATATAAAAAGCTGGATATGTTTATCTTCTTTAAGAATATATATGCCATATTTGTAAGTGGGAAAATTGATTTTCAGATGATGGTGTTGTAACAGATGAAGAACCACAAGAATATGTTGATGACAATATTGAACAGTTTGAACCAACAGATGAATGGAAGACTGTAAAAAAAGGTACTGATATAATGGTATTTATTTGAAATTGGATTGCTTTGGAATGATGTTTTTTTAAGAAATTAAGCATAGCATAAGGCTTATTAAATGGGGTATTTTGCTGAATATACAGACATGTTCATCCTAAAAAATGAACATTTTGTAGTGATAATATATGTTTTTAAAAAAAATATTTTTCCCACACTATTTTGTAAATGTAGATGTTATCATTGCCATGTATGATTTCTCTAAGGTCAAAAAATACCACCTGGACTTCATGTTCGCATGGACTTTAAGACTGGACTCAAGGAAGCAAAGTTAATGTCTGATTCAAAATCAAATGTTGAACAGTGGGATGCAGGAGAAAATATTGGTGATACTTTTAACAATTTTAATATGAAAGGAAAATTGTTGCCCTATAAAGTTTTAGTGGTCTTTAAGATAGGAGTGTCTTAGTGTTTAAGCTTTTTTGTTTAAGGGATCAAGATCTTAATATTGAATTTGAGAAATATTTCTTTTATTGTGCAGATAGGATTTTCAGTCAACAAAAAATGGTCTTGTTTTCTTTAAGTAAGGTTTTAAATATGTTTAACTTTTATTCAGGAATCATAAATACAGAGAAAAAAAGATTTACAAGAGATGAACTGAAAGCTGCATTGAAAGATTTTAAATACAAAGATGAAACAAGTACACAGGTTAATTTTCTTTATACTTCTGTAATGTCTTATTTCCAGAATTAGTTTGTTCTAAGCACATTTAGATATGTCTGTAGTAGGTGACTTGATAAGGTGGGAAGCTGGTAACTTAATTATTTGAACAATAAATCGCTAATAACCTAACAATACTATTTGATTTAATAAAAATTTGTAGGAAAAAGAAAATGAAATTAAGAAAAAGTTTCGAAGCTATGATGAACTGAAAAAGGACTTACAGGATATGCAGATGACTATGAAAACTGAAGGAGAAATTGTGACAGGATTAGTGAAAAAATTAAAAGCACCAGGTGTTGATCATGTACAGCTCAAAGTTTTGCTTGTTGACTTGGAATATTACTTGCATCAGGTTAGTTGTAGGCCTATATGTTTTAGGTATTGAAGTGTCAATCTGGTGATGCATGCTTTTGTCATGTTCAGCGTGTTTTACCTTGTCTTAAATTTTTATCAAAGTGTAGATTTGCAAAACTACTTGGTGTTTCTATTATTTATTAAATATATGCAGGTTGTTATAATTGGTAGGAAAAGAGAAATGGATTTGGTTTTGAAGAGACTGCTTATTATAAGCGAGGGGGGCTGGTTGCTATCAAGAAATACCGAGTAATCTTTCTCCAAAATGTTTAAATACCTCAACTAATCCTTCTCATTTATAATAGTTTATCATCTCTTAATTGTATTCAGTGCTGAAGTGGGGAGGGGGGGGGGGGGGGGGGGAAATGGACCTGTTCCATATTTTATTGGATCGCCAGAAGGGGTAGGATAAAAAAAAAGCAATTTTTTTTTCCATATTACTGAATTGTACTGTTCTAGTTAAGAAAATAAAATCATAGTAGTTTTACAGAAACATAATACTGTTTAGGCTGATGTGTTTAGGACCCGTTTAAAAAAAAGGAGGGAAGGTATTTTTCATGTAACGTAATTTAATCTATCATTCATGGCCATCCTCTCTTGAACTAATTTTAACACATTTTGAAAGTCCTGTCATCCCCCACCCTATTAGGCTATCTGCCTCTGTTAGTAGTGCTAAAACCCTTCAGCTTACCTATTGTTAATTAATATAAAAAAAAGTGTGTTTTAAATAGAGATTTTGCATGATGTTGCACTTAATTTAAAAAAATTTGGACTGGATATTGCATTATGTAAGAAAATTCATTCCTGTTCTGGCATTTTGAGATCAGTAAAATTGTTAATAATTATAATTATTTTATTTCTTGTATATCACTGCATTTGAAAGAATGCCAATGTTGGTTACTTAATTTAATGCGCAATAAAGTGGATTATATATCATTACATTGTTTCATTAAAATAAGTTATTTATTTATAATTGTCTTTGAACAGATTGATAATGCAAAAATCTTCTCTGACCTTGGAGGCCTGCACATACTTTTAAATCTGATCAATAGTTCAAACACTGACATCCAGGAATCTGCTCTACATACACTAGGGGCTGCTTTACAAAGGTATTTTATTTGGCTATGTTGATTCTTAGTAATGTTTTTAAAACAAAGAACTCCTAAAAGTTTCTCTAGAAATAAAATTGACAGATAGCAATGTTTTAAAATAATTATTCTTTTCTTGTTCCATTATTTAGATAAAATACTAAGATACTTTATAAACAATTCAAATGGATTTATCATTTTATTATTTTTACAAATTACTTCTAGTTTTGGAATGTTTTTAATTTCAGCAATGCAAAAGTTCAAGTAGCAACTATGGACATTGGGATAATGCAGCATTTACTAAGGACATTATCAGTTGATCCTAATGATCGTGTTCGCAAGAAAGCTCTTTATGCCGTCTCAACTCTTATACGTCAATTTCCATTTGCACAAAAGAAATTTCTTAAATTAGGAGGTCTTTCTGCTCTAGCAAATTTATTTACAAGTGCCAAAGAAGAAAACATTAAGATAAAAATCATAACTTTATTGACTGACCTGTTGCTTGAATATGTAAGTTGTTTCATTTTTATTTAGAAGTAAAGATTTTATTCTGGCATAGTTTGATTGTGAGAAATTTTGGAATAAAAATTTTTCAGATTCTTATTTCTTTTTTATTTATTTAAAAAGTATGTGATAAGCACATTTAATTACTAATTTTTAGGATTGGAATTTAAAGCAAGGTACTTCAACTGATCCTGTTCAACAGCAAAGGCTAAATCAATATAAAGAGTAAGTTTTTTACTTTGTATGCTTAAATAATTTTTTTAAAGTAATTTTCTTCAGTTACATTGTACTTGACATGCAAATCCTCATTATTCTTTTTAAATACTTACATATGGCATATTGTTGTGTTTTGTAAAGACTTAATAAAGATGCTTCAGCTGTTAAACACAAACTTAATCTTAAATAAAACCAGAGGGCTAGCTTTTACTTCCTTTCTAGTTCAACCTTTATTAATTTCCCATCCCCTAAAGCATGCATAATAAGTATCTGATATTGCAAAAACATAAATTCAGAATTCTTAAAAATAAACTTACCATAGAGAAGTAATTTTAGTTGCAATTTATGGCTGAAACAAGTGGTTGAAACAATTTTACTAGGAAAACCAATTTTTAAAATTATTTTCATCTTTTTTCTTTTATATTACTCATCTAAAAGATTAAATCAGAAATGATACATATTCAATGAATATGTGACAAAGTGAAGAGATCACTTGAAGTGATTGTTGTAGCCACATACTGGGGTGGATGGGATGTGTGAAATTATGTTTTAATTAATTGCAAGGGAGAACACTGGGTAATGAGCGCCAGTTGAATGTATAATGAGTGCTACGAAAGTCTTGAAAACTCGCTTGGTATGTATAAATAAATAGTTGTAGGTTTATTTTTAAACATGTGTTTTGCAGGGTTCATCTAAGAGAAAGCATGTCCACATCAGGTTGGTGCAGTTTAATGACATCCCTCCTCCATTCTCCCACTGGTCACGACAGTGTTGAGAAGATCGTCAATGCCATGTCCACACTGGTTGGGACCTGCAAAGCTGAGTTTGTGCCAGCAAGAACTAAACTTCAAGCCCTGCTTGGAGAGTATCAAAAACTTGCTGAGGATGAAATTCAAGAAGGTTCTGAAGATCTGTATCATTCCATTTATTCTAACATCAAAAGTTTAGTTCAAGAAATATACAGAGAAGATTTGTGACTTCTGGTTTTGAATTCATACTTATGAAAGATGTCTTTTTGTTCCACCACCAGCATTATTTGTGTCTAATAGTGCATTCAAATAATGGATGGAGAAAATTGAACTATTGGTAAAAGGATATTTTCTTTTTTTGTCTGTGAATATAATATAAAAGCTTGCTTTTGTCATAAGCCTTGTGTGATAAAAAGTTTTGAAATGCTGCAATTGAATAAGTCTTTCTGATAGTTAATTGAATACTTCTATTCTTGACTACATGGAATATAATTAAATGTAAACAGCTGTTAGGAAAGCAAATAAAGAAATGAAGAATTAGTTTTAGAAACATGAAATACATTTTTTTGTTATGCTACACTGTCTTGTAAATAAGAAAAGTATCTTAGAGTGAAAGAATTAAGTTAATTAAATACAAAAGAAATGCAGAGATGTAACTGCCTAACAAAATTTTCTTAACCTACTCACAGTATTTCCCAGTTTTTTTAAATTTTTAAGGACATTTTACAGTACATTTAAAAAGAATCAGGCTCTGATAAATTGTTGTAACCAAATAACAGCAGGAGAAGTCTTATTATTTTGTTAATCTTACAATAGGTTAATAATTTAATAACCCCCTTTCACCTTTGGCATACATGCCTCCTAATGTGTCAAACCTAGGACAATTTAGGTTTTTTATTGCCTAAAAGTATCCCCCTTAAAATTAAATATTTAAATAACACAGAATTGAGAGAGCCTGGACACCACTGTGCTTGTGTGGTCAGACGAGACACATTATAGTGCTCACTGTGTGACCATGAGAGCAGGTGAAGGGTGGTTTGTTATGAAGACATGTAGCAAAAGTGTCCACAAAGTTGAGTAGAATATTATAACTGATCTCTGAACATTTCTATTTCATATGATTTGCATTTTCAATATTTTGCAAAATTAGTTAGAGAATAGATTAAGCGAATAAGTTACCCAACTCTTTTGACAATTTTTCTCAAATGGAAAAGCAAAAGTTTTGTGTGCAGGCTTACTGTTGTTTTTATTTCAGTGAAATCTGTTGATCTATGTATAATTTAAATAAAGGTAGCATTAAAAAGTAATTCATTAAATGAGATCTTTTCCTTTGTAAGTACAGCTTCTTTTTAATTCTTAAACAAATATATTACTGACAAATTTAATGTGAGTTGGTTTAAAAATCTTGTGTTATGATCATGTGCACTCCTGTCCACAGATTTCTCTGTTATACTGTTTTATGTCCATCCAATTTTTTTTCCAATTTGACATTACATTTTTCTTACAATATATATCCTACCTCTAAAAAATGTTTTTCTTGGTGCTCATAACCACATCATTTTTTAGACCTTTCTGAAAGTTTGACAGCTTTCTCTTTTTTTAACTTCAAACTTTTAAATTTTTTAATATTTTACACAGCTTAAAAAGCAAACACTGAAAAATAATTTCACTCACTAACTATATAAAAATTGCTTTGTTCAAATGCTTCCATTAAATCATAAAATTTGTTTCTATTTGAATAAGGCAAGCGTTACACATCAATACATTTTCACAAATTTCAGCATCATTTCAGTCATTCTGTATAAAGTACTATAAAGCAAACCTGTGAGAATCAATTATTTGTTTTTTATTTTTAGTGGAAAAGAAATTGTTGAAAGCTACTCCCCCCCCCCCCCCCACAAAGTATTGCTGTTAAAATCAATAAATCCCCCCCCCCCCAAAAAAAAATTAATCTCAGGCTAATATAACATTGATTTCTTACTGCTGCTTTATTTTAAAAGGTTCTTTAAAATTTAAAAAAAAAATAGCTAATTTGTGATGCAATGGCAAGTGCTTTTTGTTTTCTTGGTAAACTAAAAAGATTTAAAATTAAAAAAAAAATGTTCTTATGGCAAGGAAAGTTTGGTAATGATGTCAAAATGGTTAGTTTTGTGTGAAATCTGATACTCATTAAGTTATGAAATAAAATGTAAAATTATAGGAACTTAAAAAAAAAATATGCACTACATTTGTTTATTTTTTAATGTTTCTAAATAAAATTATGTTTAAAAACTACAATATACACCAGTAGAGTAATTTTGTTACAAGTATTATTTATTATATATTTGTATGTATGAAAATTGAAAGTAGCAGTAAGTGTGTGTCAGTATGTCGTATGCATTGCTACATCACTCACCTGATCACTATGAAACTATTGAGTACATTCCAGGGAAGTTTTCTGAGAATATTTAAATATCAGCCCACATTGCCCCTCCGGTACCCAACCTTTGCGGAGGGTGATCAAAGCAAAGTGCTAGTAATCATGTTTAGTTTTTAATAATAGAAAACTTTCAGATAAAAAAAGGTAGTTTTTCAAATTCATCTGATTCTCTGATCCAAACTCATAAAAGGAAGGTGTGTTCAAATTTATGTCTGCATCCTTTACTTTCCCTTAATTAATTCAGGTACCCATCACAAATGAGTGGACTTTCTACAAACAAACCAGGATTCAGACTTAAGACTTTCAGGTTAGCAATAGGCAAGCGATAAAATTACTGTTATGTGTGTAAAAATTAAAGCTGTTTAAGAACCATTGATTACACTAATTTTCATATATATTTTTTTCAGATTTTTGTATTGAATATAAGCCTTTGTAAAGCTGTTTTGAATTATTTTATCAATTAAAATATTTAAAAAAACCACCCTCCACCTCTCCTTGAAGTCAACTGGAGTGGCCAGTGAAAATAAAACAATGAAAGTCACAACAATTGTTTTCCATGAAAAAATACACAGAAGCGGTCAATGGGGTATAGCCTAGTAGTTTATTTATATTAAATAATATAACATCCCCTATCACCACAACACCCTGACTATTAATCCAAATTAGAAATAAAAGTGTTAGCTAAATTACTATTAAATTACTAATTATTATTTCTTATAGCACTTAAATAAAGCCAAAAGTCATTTTGTACTTATTTCACAAATGTTGTGAAATATAAAATTTTGGTTGCAAAATATGCTTTCTGGCAACATACATTTGGAACCAGCTTTTAAGTCTATTAATTTGTTGTTCAGAACAGGTGGTAAAAAGTGAAGTTACCCTTACAAGCAGGCGAGTCACCTCGGCAAATGAAAGGATAGTGTGGTCAGCACTATGCCAAGTGGACCTTAACTTTCCCCAATGTGTGTTAGGTACTTATCAGAACTGGGTGGACTCAAGCCCAGGATCCCATTTAGAGAAAACAAAATTTGGAATTTTGTTTATTATTAAAGATAATAGGATTTTCACTTTTAAATATTTGCCTTAAGAACCAATGTTTACTTATTGCAGAAAAGACTACCATTAAAAAAAAGTAAAGTGTTTATCACTTTTATTTTTTGACTAAGATACAGTAAAGCTAGAAAACAATTTTACAAATGCAGAGTGCTTTAACTTTAAGAATAAAATATTTTTGTTTCACTCTAACAAATTTCTTTTAAGTTGCCATATTTTTCATACAATGTTAGATATTGATAGTTTGGAATTAAGAAAAGTATATTATATATAAAAATAGTTCTTTAATGTCAAAAATGTACACATTTACACTAACAACATATTGGTATATTTACTTCTAATATATCATGGCTTTGACAAAGGCATAAAGTAAGTATATAATATTATACATACCCTTAGCAGTGTTAGAGAAAAAAATGTATAAGGCTATCAAAGATTTAACGCTTAAGGGGAGATATAGACTGGTACAGAGATTGAGCATTATGTACTGTAAAATCCATAACGTTGAGGCCAATGTCCAGTGCAAGATACAAATGTCCATAGTCCATGCCCATGGAGTAGACAGGACTGTTACATTTGGTACTGTAATAAAACTGAAATATAAGAAACAGCATAATTTTTAGCTCATCTTTCAAATGTTACATGAATAAATAAAGATTATTTTTTTAAAATCTAGAAACTTTTAAATACTGCCACTTATTGCATTCTTCTTCTTCTTTGTTCTTAATTTTTAGCGTTGGAAGGGACCCCCTCCAACACGATTAAGTATATGTGTCAACTGGTTATGTCAACTGGTTATGCGCCATTGAGATCATTGACCATTGACTCTAATTTCAGCCTGCTTTTTTTTTGGATTTGCTTCCATAGCATTTTCCAACCAAGAATAAACCTTACTACAAGGCAGCAGTTGTTTGATTTTGGAGTTGTCTCTGCTAGAAGAGTGGCTGTCCCCAGCTAACAAGCCTCAACTGCCAGAGTGTTCAAACTCAAGACTTCTTGGTTTAGCAACCATGGGCTTTACTGACTAGACCACGCCGACCCCTATTGCATTCAAATACTTGATTTTGGTGTTTTGACAGTTCTATTTAAATACTGAGATACATTTTTTTTAAATATAAAATTCTGGTACCAATCAGACAGATAGGTACTTGACTTACTTTGACTTAGTCCTCTTTGCTCCTTATGGAGCATAGGGCCTCCACCATTTCCTTCCATTTCTTCCTATCCTCGGCTATTAATTTTGACATCTCCCAAGACATCCCTATTGGCTTCAGTTCTTCAAGAAGACTCCGCCTCCAGGTCTGTCTTGGGCGCCCTCTCTTCCGCTTTCCCTGGGGGTTCCACTCAAGCGCTTGGCGTGTAACATTTGTGTGAGCCTTTCGCAGTGTGTGACCCACCCAGCGCCACTTCCTCCTTCTTATTTGCACACCTATAGGCTCCTGCCTAGCTTTCCTCCATAGTTCCAAGTTCGGCACTTTGTCCTGCCATCTCAGCTTCAGTATCTGTCTAAGGCATCTATTCATGAAGGTCTGTATCTTTGCTGTGCTTGCCTTGGAGACTCTCCATGTCTCTGCTCCATACAGCAGAACTGCCTTGACATTAGAGTTAAATATCCTAATTTTTGTGGTAATGGAGATGGCCGAACTTTTCCATATGGGTTGCAGGACTGTGAAAGCGCAGCGGGCTTTATTAACTCTAGCGCGTATGTCCTCCTCTGTGCCTCCCGTTTTGCTGATCTTGCTGCCAAGGTAGACAAACTCTTGCACATCATTTACCTGTCTTCCGTCTATTGACACTGGAGCCTCCTGTTTATTGTTAATTCTCATCATTTCCGTCTTTTCTTTGTTGATCTTCAGACCTATGCGCTGCGAGATGGCTCCTAATGCATCAACTTTTTCTTGCATGTCCTGTAGCCTGTGCGAGAGTAAGGCAAGGATAGGTAAGACAGATAGGTAAACCAACCTGAACTGGTTCTGTTTTCCGTTTGTCCCACAATCTGACCATTCCATGACGAGCTGTCCCAACAGCTAGAGCATTGTCTCCATCTGTTTCTATGCAGTAAAGAGGTGAGTCAAATGGCTCTTCCCAATGACTTACACTGAAAAAAAGAAACACATGATATAAAATTCAACCCCATATAATAATTATACTTGAAGTTTAATTTATTAAAATAAAATCCTAATATATAAAAGCCCATGTGCACACTTCTATATCTCTGTCAGCAACATATTTCTAGAGGCTATGAGATCAGTATCTTTGGCAATTTATGGAGAGCTTAATGATATGGACTTTTGTTGAAAATAATATGCTGGATGTATTAAAGGTATAAACTGAATTTTATTTAAAGAAGGAAAATAAAAATAAAGCCATATTTGAATGTAGAAACACACTTTTAATTATGCAACTGGAAAAGTGTTTATGGTTGTGACAAGAATATAAGAAAATAATGACGCCACATGTTTAAACTAAGGAAAGTACACAACACTAAAGGCGTTATCTTCTAAGTTTAAACATTGAAGCTGATTTAGATCTATAGATCTACTTATCAAGAAAGTACACTATGAAATGTATTCAATTTTCACAGCCAAAACTAATACAAATTACTTTAAAAAACAACATAATACCATTGAATAGCCAGGTCTTTAACAGAATCATTTAAGTCTCTTAATCAGTGTGTGCATTTAATATGGTGTTGTGTTGACTAATAATAATGTATATAATTTGGTTTTAAGTTTTCTTATACTTATAGGTATTGGTAGCCTATGTTATTTTCAATGTGTCGGAGTTTTAGCTATTTAATTATTTCTTTGCTTTGTCACTAATATCGTTTAATGTGTACTAAAGCACATTGCGTTTTGACCTATAACTATTTAATAAATTATTTTTCACAAACAAGTATAACATTAAAAATATATAGGTCTATAATTCACGTGAAACGGGTACCCTTGGCTAGTAGTAATTAAGCACTCACCATTTAAGGGTTCGCAAATCCCAAAGTCTCATAAATGTATCATAACCACAAGTTAACAACTCAGTAGGAGATAGGAACTTGAGATCAAACACACCAGCCCCTCTGCGGTGATTTACACTTAACTGTCCAAGACACAGTGAACTGATGGTAGAGATAAACATTTATTTTAGAATTCTAATATTTTTTTATTTAAATGAATTTAATAAAAAAAAAAGGGGGGGGGGGGACAATTAAATAAAACAATTCCTAGTTTTTTATACGTTATTATAAAACATCTTAATCATTTTACTAAACACAATCTAGATTCCGTCTTTAAGATTCTTTTGTTTTTAAATATAAGAATTGCAAACTTTTCTGAAAAGAATAACTCATATAAATTTCTAGCAGTGGTACCTATACATTATGCATGTTGTCAAACTGGTACATTAGAAGTTTTGAAAGACCTACTATATATTGGTGGATTACCTCTTTTAATTAATTTATTTATATTGATATAGTATTATATTAAATATTAAAATCAATAGGCCTATATTATTTATTAACCATACCTCTCTATATCCCACAATACAACAGGCGGATCATCAAGACAACCTGCTAATCCTGCAGCAAAAAAACTGAAGAAAAAATTCATTTCTTTTATCCTACATATGTTTATTTATTAATGCTTTATAAGAAAAACTGGAGAAAAGAAAATGAATGGACTTAATGTGTTTGAGCATGTGATAATAAGTAAGACTTTTAATTGTAAAAATTTGTGATTAGCAGCAAGAGGGAGGGATTCAGAAAGTGTGACGACACTTTTGCATTATAAAAAGTAATTTAAAAACTGAAGTTAAGCCGTTATTTTGTAAAGTAACAAGATAGCTTTATAAATTATAATAGAAATCGATCAATATTTCTTAATGTCAACCGTACTCAGTAAATAGTTTAGAAAACAGCATTTCAAGGAGGGGGGGGTTGTAAGCTAAGTTGTGATTTCATTTAAGGGAGGGAAGGTCTGGCACTTTGTGACAATGAGGAGGGAGGTTTAAATTGTTTTAAAAAATATTCTGCCATTTATGAATGTCCTCTAACATGTTAAAAGAACAAACCTTTGACAGGGGGAAATTTGTAGACACCAAACCCTTTCTCCAACATTATAAGTCTGTATCACAGGATCTCTTTGGCAATTTGATTTTAGTGACAAAACCTGAAATGTTTGAAAATATGTATAAATCTTTACTAAAATAACGAGTCAAGATTAAATTTAGAACCTAAATATTTATACAAGTCTTCGTCAATTTTGAAATTAAACATGTTTGACTTACTTTACAAGTCGTATCCCTGGAACCAGAAATTATTATATTGTCTGTAAAATCCACACACTGTGCATCACTCTGATGAACTTGCTGGTAACACAACAGTTGCCTCCCTGTGTTGTCCCAGGCGTATACACTACCATTTCTGTGGACATTTTCATTTGTAAAATGGGCATCAAAAGATAATTCCAATACTGTATAAATTAGATAACTGTTTTGAAACATTAAATATTTTAGTGACTAAGCAGTAAGCTACTAGTGATTAATTTAATTACATTTTCAAACTACTTACCTGCATCCACTTACAATTAGACCATTTCTAACAAGAAACCTAGTTGCATCCCCTTTCATGCCCAGTAAACATCTCCGCCTATCTTCCGAAATTGAGCCGGATGCATGTACTTTATAAAATCCAATTCTGTTGTTTGTAGAAAACCATAAGCCATCATCTGTTTTTTGAATCCATGGGATGAGCCTAAAAAGTGATCCAGAAATTCATTAAACAAATGGTTTCAAAACAATCCAGTAAAACAGTCTTATTCTTCACATAATTTCAAAAGTGCTCTATTTCTAATAAAATGAAAGATAATTAAATCAAACCCATAAAATAAAACAATGTCTTTAAAATGGAATAACAAATCAAATGCGAAAAATCCAGTTTATTTTTAATAACACATGTATTTCTGGCACAAAGTAAATTTCAAATGCTTATAAAGGAAACATTTAAAAACACAAATAGTTTAATAATATTAATATACACTTACTTGTCTCTATGTTTGACCTTAACAGTATAGAAATCCTTGAATTTCCCAAAACGCCAGTTTGCCGAAACTCTACAAAACTCTTTTGCTTTAAGTTGCTTACTTTAAAAAGAAAACAGAAATTCATTACATGTGTGCTGTAGAAAAAACAGTAATATCCTAACATACAACCATTAAAGTTCTTGAAGACACATTTTAACAATAAATTTTTACAACAGTAAAAAAATTAACAAAAATATCCTTAATACATTAAAAAAAAAGTTCTGATGGAATAGGACATTAACCACTCCCCCCCTCCCTTCTAGGTTCTTTACTCGACTAATAGAATAGATTATAACTGTTATACATATTTCAAAACCAATAAATACAAGATGAGTGATAATTTCAAAGCTTTATTGAGTGAATTATCCCAGCAGTGAAAATACAGCTGTATACAATTATTTTTACATGTAATCGACTACCCTTTACAAAGTATGAACTAAAACTGTTCAATTGATAAAATTAAAAGTCACTGTCGTGTACAAAGTTTGGAAGCTAAGAGACAGCTTGCTGTTAGAAGTGTTGTAAATAAAAACTAGCATTTGAATAAAAACCACATTACTGATTTTAAGTTGGTTCCATTTATGTTCCCTTATGACTGGAGAGGGGTTATTTTTTGACTGAATACTCATTACTTGAAATATATTGACATGGCACTACATATTGTATTGTGTACTATTACAGGATGTAATTGTTATAACGTAGATTTTACCTGCTGAAAGGCACCTTATACCCTGCCTCTCTCTTTGCATGGTGCAACCAAACAGTATCTTTTGATGTTAAACTGTTAAATCTTTTACAGACGCGACAAATATTGCATAAGTCTTTGGGTAATAAATACTTGAAGATTAAAAATAGCACATCATCAGGTAGTAAAGATATCACAGAAGTAGCTGACATCTCAGACGAAGTTGTTGATTTGAAGCAATCTGTATTAGTATTTTTACTGTTTTCCATCTTGAGAAGTGGCTTTGATAAGGTACAAGTTTAAATTGAAAAATGTGTAAGACCTTTTCCTGTTATGTGTAGTTTCATTACGTCTGAGGAAAGCAAGAATAAATAAATGTTTCAGGTCCTTATAGCAATACTGACTGGGCATAGTTATTGGTTTTACTAGTCTTTTCACTAAACTTGATACATGCAAAAACAAACCTAATTCAGTTTTGAATAGCCCAAAATGTGTTTTAACAAGTAACCTTTTAGGATATTTCAGTAAGAAGACACCCATCAATGATGTCATGCTAACTTCAACCCTACACCTAAAATAACCGATAGCCTGATAATATATTCAGGACAATTTTCATAGACAGATAAAAGTGGAGGGAGCTGCATGAAAGTGCCTCTTGTTCAACTATTGCCTTGACAGCAGCATTTGTTACTCCTCAATGATAAGCCCCAGCTATGTGAAGAACTATGCTAGGGAATTCCTTTTACATCAAAGTCAGAAACCTTCCCATCCAACATTAAATCAGCAAAAGTACTTGTGCAAAATCTACTTTGAGCATTCTGTACACTGAAATTATTAATTACTTATGCAAAGTTTTTGTATTTTACAAAATGACTGTGTGATATGTTTATAACTAGATCTAGATCTCTACTAGTTATTAGGTAACTAGTTTACTACTATACTAGATCTAGATTTAGATCTACACGACCACACACTGAGTGACACAGCTTAGCAGAAACATTGCTCCCCCGCCCACGCATAACTATTATAATAACGAGAAAAATGGCCCGTTGAGGAAGGATACAACGGGTGCTAGGTTGATAGTGCTTTTTATTTTCTCGGTACTTTAATTTATACAAAATATAGTCATAGGCATATCCCTAAACCATGCACCTAATCTCATTCATGACAAAAGTCGCATTTAGAGTTTCTTTCAGGCAACTCTACTTGGGAGGAGGGGGCTCTGCCCCCCCCCCCCCACACACACCCCAAAACATGTCTACCATCCCATTCAACGAAATATAATTATATACTTTTTCCAGTGTCCGCCCCCTCCCAGAAAATTCTACCCCCGCCCCCGAAAATTTCAAGTACCCCCACCCCTCTCCGGGGAGGAAAAAGTCTGAAAGAAACACTGGTCGCATTTATAGATCATACAAACTAAAGGAAGAATCTGGGCGGGGCTTCGCCCCTACCTGAAGAGATGCTTGAAAAAAAAACTGCACACTAAACACTTTTTAGATTAGAAAAAGTTCCCCCCTCCGGAGAGGAAAAAGTCTGAAAGAAACACTAGTGTCGCGCTTAGCCACTACCCGAAGAATTGCATTAAAGAAATTGCAAGAAAACCACTTTTTAGATTAGACACATTAATTAGGCGGTAATTTTATTATAGAGTATCGATGAAGAAATTTCTTTTGAGTTGGGGAGGGGGGGGGGGGGTGGGGCTTTGCCCCTACCCGAAGAATTGTATGAAAGAAACTCTTCACGCAAACCACTTAGATTAGACACAAAATTGCCTATTTATTCAATGTTTACTCGAGAATCAATAACGTCATATTACTGTGTCCACTCTCCGGCTTGATATTATTTTCTACTCTATGCTAAATGTGACGTCATATTTCGTTTTCGTTTCATTGTGAAAGTTTTTAAATTGCTTGTGTTTTCTCTAGAGCGTTCTTGTCAGATACATAGATAGATAGATAGATACATAGACAGACAGCGAAACTATTATTATAGATTATTATATTAAATATATTTATTATCACAACACCATAGATTTGCTATTGTTGCTCAGAATACTGATTATTATACTTATACTCATACTGATAGGACTAGATCTATATATAATTAATTAGGCCATCCTAAGAATAAGATACTTTTAATTTTAAGTCTTAATAATAATATTCGGCCTATATTAATATTAGTATTTATTACTATTAGCCTTTTTAAAGGCTAAACTAAATACTAAATTTATTATTAAATTAAAATTAAGTAGATCTAGTCCTAGTTTAGTAAAGTACACTCACAGTCCAGTAGTCACAGTCAAGATTTATTAATTTCTAAATTATTTTATTTAGCCTAGATCTAAGCCTCTAAGACAATCTAAGAGTTAAGAGTTAAGACTCTAACTAAGAAGATCTAGATAGATCTAGATCTAGCTCTAGATTAATTTGTGCATTTAATATGCGAGTTTATTTTTATCCTATTGGTAAGAGTAAATGTGTGTCTAAATATAGATCCTAGATCTAAATAATCTATCTAGATTTCTAGATCTAAATAAAAAGCTGAACACATCCTAGTGTGAACTAGCTAGGCTTGTATAATTTTTAATTTTTTTTTTACAGTGGTCTCCCTTGTGTAATTTCACACTTTTCATATCAAACTAAATCCATAGGAAATTCATAGCAATGGGTCATCATGCCCGAGAGAGTTTCGTATTTTTAAAAGGCGTTTTTGTAAATATTAATAGAAAATTATAACGTTCACCGAGCTCAATAAATATTTTAGAAAGAAACTGACAAAAAAAAAAAAAAAACTGCAAATATGAGAGGGTGAGATTTGAGATATGCTGAGAGTACAAACTGAGGAGAGTGTGATGTGTCCTCAGTTTAGGGGTGGGGGCTCTGGCTTTCTGTGATAACGTGTGACGGCGAGGAGAGGGGAAGGAAAAAAAATTGTCAAAATATGACGTCCTGTACGAATTAGCCTACACCCTATGAACCTAGATAGATCTAGGCCCTAGACATAGGCCCTAACTTTATATTTTGAGCGCCGCGATAGGCCCAACGAAAAACCTGTTAAATTATTACTTGAGTAATCTCCCTTGGAGATTCACATCCGGTTCTATTATACAGCAGTTTTTCCAATCGTAGCGTTGTCAACTTGCAACAGCCTAGCGTACAAACATAACAATTTAAATTAAAGATGGTAAGCATGTCTTAGAGCCTCCATAGTAACCACCATAAAAATACAACTTTCGGTAATCTATCGTTTTGGGTACGTAAAATCGCCCGCGATTTGTAATGTGAAAAACAGGTGACTCCTTAAATTTTAATAATTATTTCATATTTTGAGGAGAATTTATGTTTTAAAAAATTCAAAAATGGGTAATCTATCGTTTTGGGTACGTAAAATCGCCCGCGGCTATTTATGTACGAAAACGTTACCTCATTGTCAAGGCTTTAATAGAAGTATATTGTCATACTTTTGTGTCAAATATTATAGTAGGGTTGTCGGCATCCGCCGAGTTCGCGGTAAAAACATGACCCGAAATCGCCCATTACTTTCTGATACCGGACCCACGAGATTTGGTTTTGCATACTAATAAGTTTTTAATTTATGGTAATTAATTAAGTTTAAAAGGTCATTTCCTAAGGTTAATTAAAAAGTAGAGTGGTTGTCCCTTAGTTTTAATGGCTTTGCGACCTGATTGCATGCTGTCTCTGCTTTGGTCTTCCCTCTGTATCAAGGTTAGTTTCAAATACGTTGGAATCTCGATTTTTTAAAGGATTCCTCTAGATGAGAGTAGATTACTGATCAGACATATCTTAAGTAATTGGAAATGAAATTTGTTTTTGGATATTTTGACTCCGACATTAGTTATACCCCTCCGAACGTAGTCACTGTATGTAGGTCACGCTGCCACCATTGTTATATTTTTTCATCCCGATCTTCCTGCCTTTAAGTTTGATCAACTAATAACAGCATTCTTATGGCATGTGCAAACAAATCTAATTTTTTATTTCAAAATATATTTACATACCCATCTTTAATTTTTTCAGCTCTAGTTCTAGTTTTGCAGAATATGTTTTTCCTAAAAATCCAATTTTGTCAGACTAGACTCTAGACTGACAAGAGTCTGACCTAGATCTAGGTTACCTGTCTGTTGCTATACACTAGCATTGTGCTAACTGTAATTTTAAGTATTCAAGTTCTACTTACCCTTAGATATAGTTATATGCTGAAAATCAGAATCCATACACAATTCACACATAAAAACATTGATCTGATAACTTCATTTCACTTATTACAAAATGGCTTTTATATGGACTCTACTTCACCTCCACAAAATAACAAGGCAGTTATAGACACATTACAGTGTTCAAGTCATTTACTTTAGATTTCTGACTATGGAGTTCTTTCATTCACTGTATTTATATAAAATATTGCTTTAGAAACATTTTCATATTTGCGCAGCAGTTTTATAACAAAATGGCTTAAAGATGGACTCTACTTCACCTGCCCAAAATAATGAGGCAATTATATGCACATAACAGTGTTCAAGTCATTTACTTTAGATTTCTAACTTTGTAGTTCTTTCATTTGCTGTATTTATATAAAATAGGGCTTTAGAAACATTTTCATATTTGCGCAGCACACAGTTTTTTGGGGTTATGGGAGGAAGCCAACACAAAAATATAAGTTCTGTATTATTTTTATTAATTTCAACAGCATTTACAAGTTCTATATATCATTCTAGTTAAACTCTGCAAATATGAACAAAATACAACTGCAAGTAAAATAACTATGCTCAATTTATTCAGGTATACCATGACTTGTCACAATTGGCCAATGCAAAAGCAAGGGGATTCCACCCCTCACAAAAAAATTCGCCAAAAAAAAACTATTTGAGCTAGACAGAAAATCTTTTTTGTTTTGTTTTCATTTTGTTGAGCTCTACAAGAATATGTAATTTTTATTTTTATATGATGATTAGTGTTTTTTTACCTAAATCCCTAATTATAGATAAATGAATAATAAACCTAAATCAATGGCTAAATATATCGATATAGGCCAGAAATTAACTTTAAACAGCAGTGTCTGAGAGCAAGATTTGCTATATAAACAGCAGCCATTTGTAAAATAGAGTGACTTCCCCCTGAATCTGGCGCTAAAAGCTTATAAAAATAAAACTTAGACAAGATGGCTGCTATAGTAAATGAGCATGGTTGCATCTGTTGGAAACATCGCTAGTCTTCATTTATTACGGAAAAGTTTTAATTCAATTGTTTAAAAACAGGTACATAAATGAATCAAGGAAACATTTTTGAATTTTTTAAAACATAAATTCTCCTCAAAATGTGAAATAATTATTAAAATTTAAGGAGTCACCTGTTTTTCACATTACAAATCGCGGGCGATTTTACGTACCCAAAACGATAGATTACCCAAAAATGTTTCCTTGATTCATTTATTTATTAAAGCCTTGACAATGAGGTAACGTTTTCGTACATAAATAGCCGCGGGCGATTTTACGTACCCAAAACGATAGATTACCCAACTTTCAAATTATTTATAGAATCTATTGGGGCACTGGTGTTTTAATTATTTTTTTAATTAGGCCTAGAATACTAGATCTAGTGAGTCTAGTCTAGCTGCTAGATCTAAATATCTAAGCTAGATCAGTAGATCTAGAATCTAGATCTAGATTCTAGTTCTCTCAGAGATCAGTAGTGTGTAGTGTAGTCAGTAGTTTATATTTATGAGTCAGTAGAGAAGCGAGTTTTACGAGTAGAGACAAGAGACTAGATCTAGTGATCTAGATCTAGATCCAGAGCTAGTCTCTTGTCATTTAGTTTAAGTCTAAAGTTCTGTATGCGATTAAAACCACGCAGTTGCCATCCTGTTTGGATGTTTTAAAGGCCTACTACGAAACTACTGATATCTGCTGTACGAATGTCCAATTATAAATATATGCAGGTCAAATTCTTTTGTTTTCTCCTTCTGGAAGACGAGCTTTAAAATTTAGGTATGACTTCGTCGGTGATCCCAGTTCTGCCGGATGAAAAACACTAGGTCCGAAATGAGACAAATAAAACCAACAAATCAAAGCTTTTTATAAATAGGTTAACTATAAATAGTTTGTTCATATGTGCGGGACCCTGTAGTTAAGCTATAAAAGCAATCTGAGAGGTGAAATAAATAAGGGTGGCCACAGCTTGGGTAGCTGTGAAACGGTTACTAAATAGCGCCAGATGAAAGTCGGGAAGGAATTTCCTGCTATGTGTGAACGGCTGTGGAACTTTTTAGTTACAGATCTACTCTAGTTTACTAGTTTAGTACTAAACAGTTACTACATTTTACTAGTTAGGCTTAAGTTTATCTAGTACTAAGTATAGTTAATGGGGAACAAGGCATTACTCCCCGTCAATTACACACCCCCCCCTCCCGGACATTCCCTCCCTGTCAACCTCCGCTTGACATAGTTTAAGGTGCAGCTAGGGTTAGGATTAGTGTTATGTTTAGGGTCATGACTAGGATTATGGTTTTTGGGTAATCTATCGTTTTGGGTACGTAAAATCGCCCGCGGCTATTAATGTACGAAAACGTTACCTCATTGTCAAGGCTTTGATAGTAGTATATTGTGATACGTTTGTGTCAAATATTATAGATAAATGAATAATAAACCTAAATCAATGGCTAAATATATCAATATAGGCCTGAAATTAACTTTAAACAGCAGTGTCTGCGAGCAAGATTTGCTATATGAACAGCAGCCATTTGTAAAATAGAGAGGTTTCTCCCTGAATCTCGCGCTTAAGTTTATAAAAATACAACTTAAACAAGATGGCTGCTATAGTAAATTAGTATGGTTGCATCTGGTGGAAACATCGCTAGTCTTCATTTATTAGTGAAAAGTTTTAATTCAATTGTTTAAAAACAGGTACATAAATGAAACAAGGAAACATTTTAGTATTTTAAAAAACATAAATCCTCCTCAAAATGTGAAATAATTATTAAAATTTAAGGAGTCACCTGCTTTTCACAACACAAGTCGCGGGCGATTTTACGTACCCAAAACGATAGATTACCGGTTTTTGTTATGGTCAAGGTCAGGCTTAAACCAATGTCTAGAGTTGGTTTTGGTTTTGTGTTAAGTTTAAGGCTGAGGTGAATCCTTATATTTTGGTCTTTTTCTTAAGGTTAGGATTAAGGTAATTTGAGTTAGAGTTAGGATGCTAACTTGAGGGGGGGGGGGGGTAATGTCCTGTAGCTAGTTAATGTACAGTATAGTAGTAAGCTACACTAGATGACTAGTACACTACTACGGTAAAATAACTAAAAAATATGAACTTCATATTTGTGTGTTTTTAACTTATAGGCCTACAAAATTAGCTTTGTAGTTTTTTGGTGGCAGATGGTGTTACATTTCGTTGGCCTGCAATTTTCTTTTATAGTCTATATCCTGTCCCCTAAAATCACATCTTGTCTGTAATCACAGTATTTTACTTGTGGTAAATTAATTCACAGAGTATTTTAGCCTACAATGGTGCTGCCATCATGGCAATGAAAGGTAAAGACTGTGTAGCCATTGCAGCAGACAGGCGTTTTGGTGTGCAGGGGCAGACTGTGAGCATGGACTTTGACAAGGTGTTTGAAATGGGCCCTCATTTATTTGTTGGCTTGCCAGGGCTTGCAACAGATGTCCAAACAGTGTAAGTTGAAAGATTCAAGTTTAAAAACATTTTGTTGATACTTGAATAGCTATATTGACTTGCCTTGATGTTTAATTGCAAATATTTAACATAGAAAAATTTTGTTTCTTAGGTTTCAAAGATTAAAATTTCGACTTAACATGTATGAACTCAGAGAGAATAGACGCATCAAGCCAAAAACATTTATGAGTATGGTCTCAAACTTGCTTTATGAAAGGAGGTTGGTATTTTAAAATCTGAATCAATAGTACTATATTATTTTGCTTAGGTTTTTCGATCTTATTAAAAATATAATAATAAAATTAGGGTTTTGCCTGCAATTTTAAGCTTAATTATTGTTTAACCATTTGCTGTCCAATTAGGTCAAAAATGCCTTACTTACGATGCTTTTTTCACTAAAGTTTGATGCTACTTTTTCAATAAAATGTTTATTGCATTATAATTAAAAGTAATACACAATATTCTATATAAATTTTTCCTCTGAGAATTACATTTTTTTGTTTTAATTTATTTTCAAATGTACATAGATTTTTCAATTAATTATTCTAAGCAACAATTTTTTAATATAGTTATGTCCCTTTGGTTGGCAGTTCAGCAAGAAAAACAATTTCAGGGCCCAGACAGCAAATAATTTAAACTTGAAAAAACTAAAATAATTAAAAACCATATTTTTGTCCTTTTAATTTGATACCAAATTTTATATACGTGTTGTTATGATCAGTCTACTGTAGTTAAAAAAATCTCGTCTCTTGTAGTTTATCACATTGAAGCAAATGAAAGTGGCTTAGTTGTCCAAGTTATCATCACAATGACCATTTCTTATATTAAATATTTTTTATTATTGATTGATATCGGTTTACTACAAAGAAGAATCACTGCATTATATTTAAAGCTATCATTTGATTTAATATAAAAAGTAAAGCACCCTTTCGAAACTGATTGTTGATGGGGCTGGTGAAATAGAGTTCACCTGTTCCAGTGACCTCAGCATATGAAGGGATAGTGTACCGGGCTCCCTTTACTTTCCCCAACGCTATTTAGGTACCCATCAGAGTTGTGTGGACTCAGGGATGATCTATTTAAACATGAGATTCAAATATTATAAATGCTGGTAATCCAGTATGTCCTCACATAAAAACAGCAAGTGTACTACAAATACTGAGCGTCTGAGTATTAAAAAGAAAAAAAATTAATGAAGTTTAGATTTTGAAGTGATGAAAAAGGTTGGTTAAAACTAAAATGAGACCTAGTCTTAACCAGTATAAATCAAGTTGACGGTAAAAAAAGTATGTCAATTGACACCCTATAATTGGCATGCCATGTTGAAAAGAAGCTTATGTTGATTCTTTCTATTTGAAAGAAAATTATTACCATGAAGTATTTATCAAAAAGTTATTCCATTGAAATGTTTTTCTAAAAAAAATGTTTAAAAATTCAGATTTGGTCCCTACTTTGTGGAGCCTGTGATAGCTGGTCTTGATCCTAAAACACATGAACCATACATTGCATCAATGGATCTGATTGGCTGCCCCATGGAAACCAATGATTTTGTTGTCAGCGGGACATGTTCAGAACAAATGTATGGCATGTGTGAATCTTTGTGGGAACCTAATTTGGTAAGCTGCTTCTTATAAGTTTGAAGGGATTGTGTCTGAATAAGGATGTGATTTGTTACAGTGTTATTAAAGTAATTATGCTTTAACTCAAGAATTGACACTGAACTTGATGTTATTTATAGGAGCCTGATGATCTGTTTGAGACAATATCTCAAGCTTTGATGAATGCATTTGATCGTGATGCAGTTTCAGGTTGGGGTGCTGTTGTCTACATCATGTAAGTTCTTTATTCTAAATTGTAGTATTACAATACATCACCTCATTTAAGATGGAGTATATGTCAAACATCAATTTTTTACACTGCTTTATTTTGTTAACTGATAAACCTTTATTGGAATCAATTTAGCATGGTAAATTTGACTGAAATAACAATAAACATTTTGATTACCTGTTAAGTGCTAATAAATTATGATTATTTCAGAGAAAAAGACAAGGTAACCAAGAAATTTTTGAGGACTCGCCAAGATTAATTTTTCATCTTAATGTTTCTCAAAGCAACTTGATCACCTTTTTTTTTATGTTTACTTTGTCCATCATTATTTACTCATTCATTGTCATTTTTTCAAAATGCGCATTTTTCAGTAAATTAAATAAATTGTTTCATGTTCACAATGTTTGCTCTTACGTACTTCATTTTGACAGTCTCTTCTTGTTGACTAATTATGGTTAAATGTTAGTGTTCATCTATTTATGACACCCTCAACCATCCACACCATGTATATTACTTCTGTGGACAGGCTGAGGGTCTGAACCACATGATCAATTTCAAATCTACAACTACAACACAAAACATTTGATATAAACAGATCTGAAACTATACTATTAGTAATTAACAGCAGTGTTCCAGTTTAAAAATCAACCCTCAGTGGTATTAAAATCACAATCTATGAGATTAGTCTCTCTTGGTGGTGCAGTGATATCTGTTTTTTAATTGATTTTTTGTAGCCCTCATTTTCTGTTTGTTTAAAGTAGGTATTCAAAATGAAATTTTTATAATGAAATTAAATAAAATGTAACACATCCACCTGATAGAGACTGTTTTCATCAGAACAGAAACACCAAATTTATTGATGTATGTCCATTTTAAAAAAAGTTATGAATTTTTTAAAACTTAAAAAATGCGTTCGCTTTTTGAACAGTAAAGGGTCTATTTGAGACCCCTTCTAACTTCTACAATAACTAAGTTAGAACTCTCAAATTTCTTGCACACACAGCCAGTAATACAAATAGCAGACACAATTTTTTTCAAGGTAGTCAGACAGATATAAATAGAAAATTTATTCACATAAAAATGAGCCAAAGCACAATTTTACCAAAGTACGAAAAGGGAGACAAAAAGTTAATTTACAGTCATTTTTAAAAAATCATAGAAAATCAACTAATTAAGCCACATTAATAATATAAATGTTCTAAGAAAGGAAATTCAAACCATGTTAATATAAAATAAGCAGGTAAAGAATTAATAAAGAAAGTAATTAGCGAGACCAGATTCAGCAAGGTCAGTTTATAAAAATTAGAAATTTCATCCTTTTTCAAAAAATTATTTAAAAATATTTAAGTAAGGTATCTTAATAAATTTTACATCAACTTAAAGCACATGATGTTCTTAATATATAATAAACACAGAGACATAAAATAATCATTCTGCAAAACAATACAAGGCATCCTTCCTTAACGCCCAAAATCAAGAATTTTCATTACCTAACATCTTGCAAAAAGTGTTCTTACTTTTAAGAAAGTAATATAAATTGTGTAGGAAACATGTTAATGTTAGCATTACTTTGTTATAAAAAACTAAATAACTATACTACTTCTTTACTTATATACTATAATAAGAAGAAATTCCATGCATTTTAAAAACTGACGAAGTAAGATAACTAATTAAACTGAAATTCTTTTTAAATTACCCTAATAGAGTTGTGATGTTCATCTAGTTTTGTTACTCTGGTTCCTAATCATGACTTGTTTAGCATAAATTTACTTGTTACTAGTATATTTATTTCTTCTAGTTAGTTATTGATCAAAGTCAACTTCTGGAAATGTCTAGGTCCTAACTTATACAATTATCAGAAATCTTAGAGCAGGTTCAAAAAGACAGGTCAATATCCTGATTGGGAAATTTCTCTATGAGGTTGGGTAGCATTGTAATTAATAGTCAATATCCTGGTTGAGTTTGTCTTCTTCAAGGTTACAGATCAAATTATGGAATCTAGTAAGGGATCCTTCCATTGGTCCAGAGTATAGAAAATGTCTGTGAATAAAAACAATTAATTAGCATTTCAAATATACTGACTTATATAACAGGCCTGTATATCTTTATACCAACTTAAATATCAATCATGTAACATTACATCATTATAAATAATAAGCAAAGTGCATACAATACTAACATTTGACATATGGTTTCCTTCAAAAGTATTCAGGAGTCCTGTTGTTGCTTTCACAACAATACAAAATTTTTGGTAGGCCAATGAGTTTCCCCTTTCTTTTATGCTAATATCTTGCTCTGTAAATAGAATAATAATAATATTAAAAGTAAGGCTGCTCAATGCTTTTTAGATACTAAATGTAAGCACTATAGATAGTTATACTACTAGATCTAAATATTAACATGAAAGCAATAGTGAATCTAACTAATCTAAGTAGATCTAGACTAAATCTAGAAACAACTTTGGACTAAACTATTATGGAAGGGGTGCTACATTTTATTTTAAGTCGTCTTTACAATAAATCTAGAGATAAAAAATGTAAAAGATCGTAATATTCTAAAATTTAATGTAACTACTGCACATATATAGAATAGTTAACTATGAAACTAGGAAAGACAAAAAGAAAACAATGCTACAATAAATTGAAAGTATGCTGTTAACCGCTGCGGTAATATAATAGTTGAACCCAACACTACGAGAAAGTAAAAAAAAACATGGCGGACAATCGGCTTGAAATATCGACAAAATATTGATAGTTTAATCGGCCGATGTTATTAACTAACATTATTTACTAAAACAAATTAAATTCTACCATCCTTTTAAACATCTTTTTGATTTAATTGCGCATTCCTTTTTTATTTCAGTGACCATAAATTAAATACAACTGACTTTTAAAAAAGGCTAGATAATTTTTTGGAAAAATTCTTTTTAAGCGTGGAGCAATTACCGATAAGCGGACACTAATATTCAAATGTATTAAAGCAGCAGTTAATCATAAATAAATAGAATATAGCTAGTAATATAATGTGCATTCAACTTACCTGCACGTGTTTTTAAATCCACTGTAATCAACGAATAAACACAAAATCTTGCTCTGAACCGAGGTCGGGTGTTCCGGAATTCAACAGAATCTTGACTCAAGCCGGCGAAATTTAGATGCGGGTCGTCGCGATTTGTATACATTGGTTTCATTTACTGCGGTCCGACCCCATTCATGGAGTGTTCATTAAATCGTAACAGTTTTATGGCAAATTGGATGCCCTTTCGGAATATACAACTTTGGCGGCTGTAAAATTATTTTTTCATGGAAAAAAATCATTTTAAAATTTTAAATTGAACATTTTTAGCATTTAATTATATTATATAGTTGGTAAAGTTATACCATCTTACAGAGCTACCATTCTTCTTTCTAAATCAGTGGTTTCTAATTGCGTATGTATTATGGGGTCGGACCGCCGCGCGATGCCGCAACGCGACCAAAAATTTTTAAAACCGGCTTAAATTTTTCGGCTCATTTAGAATACCTATTTAAAGGGACACTAGTCTAAAGCTAGATATTTGTGAAAGACATAATTAGAAATTAGTTGAACAATTATGTTCGAACTAGCTTATCTAAACTTGTCTAGCTTGCAAAACATTTCAACTAGCTCTCATCTTACTAACATTATGTATTCACAAGTTAATGGTGTTCTCTAGTGTGAGCCTGGGTCATATATAATAGGTGGTCATTTTCTGTTGTTAACCCGAATACAATTATATAACGACAACTTCCCATTTAGCAAGTCTAGTTGTGACATGATTTTTACGCGGGTAAACGGTAAATGTAGAATACTGAGCTGAAATGATGTGAAAAACGTGCCCATTTCTACACGAGAGTTGCGGGCCCTTGTTTATCGAGCGGTTAGAGAGGCGAACGATCTTTAATTTAGACAGCCTAACTCAACACAAAGGTCAGCTAAGTGGAGTGGAGAGTATCGGGTACAGAGGGTTCTCTTTACATAATTTATAATAGTAGATTCACGCTGGCCGCAAATTTCAGTTGATCGGCGGAGAGGGGAGTGGGATGGTAAAAAAAAAAATTCAAATGTCAAACTAATCCGCCATTGTGAATATGACTTTTCCCAGATTAGTTGGAACACAAGGGGCATTTTAAATTGTTCTCCCCCACCCACGTGCTATGCTCATTGTAGCCTACTTCGAGTATTTATGTCGGCTAGATAGTACTATTTTACATTTGCAACAAAGGCTACATTTGCGAAAAATACTCATCAACAAATCGTTATTTAAAATAGCATTAAAATTAATGTATGCTTTCCGTCGACAATAGCTGTAATAGCATAAAACTTTATTTGTAAGGTCCACAACGGGGCGATGTAACCCCTTTCTCTTATTCCCAGCAGCACCGAATTTAAGAAAAGTTTCTTTTAAAGCTAAGGTTACATCTGTCGGATAAATAGAATGTCTAATCCTAACATCATTGCCTCAAAAATGTAAACTAAGGGGGGGGGGGGGGGGGGGGGAGATTCAGAGTCATAGCGATGGGGGGAGGGGGGGGGGCAGGGGGGTACATATGTCCCCGGGCGCCGACTTTAGGGGGCACCAAAATGGGTTGTAAAAACAAATTAAAGTGTCATTTTAGCTGCATTTTTGCATTATAAATAGTTTGAGGTGAGGGTGCAAATCGAAAGTTTGAGAGGGGGGGGGGTGCAAATCGAACATTTTGCTCTCGAGGGGGGCGCCAAATTGAAAGATTGTCCCCGGGCGCCGGGAAGGTCGCTACGCCTCTGGGGAGATTTGATTTTCTTACTTTCATTAAACTAAGCACTGAATAAAAATCCTGCCGCTTTGTATCCCACCTAAATGAGGTCTCTTAAAAATGTAATTAGTTTTTTGTGTGTGTGGTAGTGTAAGGACGTAAATCAGCGGTGTACGCATAAACCGACGGTAATCTCAAAGTGCAATATGCACATTCTTTGTTCTATTTTTATACGTGTATTCATGTTTACGTGCTTGTGTGTATATAAATGTATAAAAATATTCACAAGCAACAAGATACAACAAAATATGAATTGATTATAAATTGTTTTCTCTCTCCGTAAAACGCCTGATAGTTTGTTTGCGTGTCAGTGCGTGAACCCTAGCTTCACGAATCTATTGTTAGGATAGCTAGTTGTGTTGTGGGATATAGCAGCGTAACATGAACTATCAACAATATCAGCGTGTGGATATCACGATGATAAGGCGATGATGTAGTACTGGTTACATTTTGCCAAGCTCTACGGTCCCGTGAACATGATGCATACATGCTTTAACACGCTTTAAGCTGGGGAGTTATCAGAAGATGGCATTGGAATATGTACACGATAAAGACATTCTAAACACGACTTAGTGACAAATGAAGAA